CGTATCATCTGTCTGTTCAGGTCACTGTGATCTCCAGTGGCCACATTGTTCTAGCAACCCTGGCTTTAGAATCACCCACAGAGACAGGTTTGTGGATTTCCTACTGAACATGGTGTTCTATATTTTATCTCCTTCTTAATACTCATGACAGTTCTATGAGATAAAACATAAAAAGGCTCTCCCCCACTTAGAGATAAGAAAATAGAAACACAAAAGCTTGTGTGACATACTTAAAGTCCTGATCTAACGGAGAAAACACAGGCAAAGCCGTGACTCTGTACGTGCGTGTTTGGCACAAGACGTCACACTCACAAGCAAGATATGATAGCTGCAGAACAATACGAATGTACCTAATGCTACTGAGCTGTATGCTGAAAGAGGTTAAGACTCATCACAAGGAAAAAGATGTTTTTGTCACTACGTATGCTGACAAATGTTAACTGGACTTATCATGGTGATCATCTTTCAATATATATAAATATTAAATCATTAAATTGTACATCTGAAAGTAATATAATGTTATGTCAATTATACTTCAATTAAAAAAATAATTAAAGGGACTCCTGGGTTCAGTCAGTTAAGCATCTGCCTTCAGCTCAGGTCATGAGCCCAGGGTCCTGGGATCGAATCTCGCATCGGGCTCCCTGCTCAGCGGGGACCCTGCTTCTCCCTCTGCCTGCCACTCCCCTTTCTTGTGCTCTCTCTCTGACAAATAAATAAATAAAGTCCTTAAAAAGTAGATTTAAAAAATTAAATAAGGAAATAAAAAGAAAGAAATGGCAAGACAATAAATTTTATATTGTGTGTATTTTACCACAATTTTAAAAATTGGAAAAAAAATTTCGTCCAGAAAAAAGGCAAGGTAGTGATGTGACTTTATATAGTGGGTACTGCCCTTGGACTGTGATCTCTGCTTTGATTCTGCATCTGTAAAGGCCATAGTTGACTCAGTCAAGATCACAACGTTCTGGTAATGAGGAAGATAACACTTTACACTTTATGTCCAATATGATCGTTTTCAGTTTCCCTCTGAAGTTACCTAAAGGAAGTTACCTTCCTTCCTTTTTCCATATTTTGTCTTCGCATTATTCATTCATTGTGTAGATATTTACGGAGCACCTACTATGTGCAGGGCACGGTTCTAAGCTGATGCTCAGCGTTGAAATACTGAAATAGTTCCAAACCAGTTGGTAAGTAACTGCGGTCTGCAGTATCCCATGCCCCTCCACACCGGCCACCTCATCTCTTCCCTGGGACATCCCCCACCCTGGACTTCCCCATGACTCAGCATAACAGGAAGGCTCCATGGTGACCAGCTTCCAATTCAACTGGTGAATGGCTGGGCCTAACTCCTTGTTAAATGTTTTATCGCCTCCCAGACACAGCAATGAACAGAACAGACAAGATTCCTACCCTCTGGTCTAGGAAAGAGATAATAAACAATAAACACATAAATCAATCAGATAATTTCTAAGAGTAGAGTGCTGTAAAGAAAACAAAGCAACAAGGGACTAGAGAGTGACTGGGGATGGGGGGAGCAGAGTAAAACTTGAAAAGATGTCTCTGAGGAAGTGACATTACAAGGAATCAGGAAGGCAAAGGTTTTAGGTAAAAACACTCCAGGCAGAGAGAACAGAAATATCAAGGCCTTCTGGTGGGAATAAGCTTGAGATTTTCATGGTTAGAAGGCCAGTGTGATGGGGGCATCCTGAGCAAGGAGAACACAGAGGTAGACAGGGCCAGATCAGGGAGGATCTTACTGGCATTGGTAAGGAGGTTGAATTTAACGCCAAGAACAGTGAACAAGCACTTGACAGATTTGAAACAGGGCCATGAATGATCTAATTTATATTCTTATAAGATTACTCTGAAAATTGTGTGGCAACTGTGATTAAAGAAAAGCAAGACTGTAAAAAGGAAACAATGTACGATGCTCTGGTGATCATCCAGGTGAACAGCGACAATGGCTGGAGCTAGGGGACAACAACAGAAATGGAAAGAAGTATTCTGACTCAATATATGTTTTAGAAGCAGAGCTGACCAAACTTACTGATGAGTATAATATGGGAAGAGGAAACAGGAGTTAATGAAAATGACTACTATTCTTTGTTTCAGCAAGTCACTGATGGTAGTCCATTTACTGAACAGGCAACGACTGTGGCAATAAATAGTTTCGTAGAGAAAAGGAATAAAAAGTTCTGTTTTGCCACAATAAGTGTGAGATATCATTTAGAGACATAATGTGGAGATACAAACACACAGTTGGATATTTGACCTTAATAATAGGAAGATTCCCCCAGAAGATTCTGGCTTACCCAAATAGCAACATTTAATACACGTGTAACTTCATGGAGATGTATATATAATGCACATTACTGACTCTCTTCCTACAAAACTTGTGCCAACAATTAAATGCATACACACAACACGAAGTAAGGCACCAAATTCTCTTTAAGGAAAGAATATAATTCTTGGTTTTCATTTTTATTAAGTGTGTCAAAAAGCTTTCTGGGAAATGCACTCCCAAAATTGGAAAAGAAAACCAATTAGGAAATAAACGGTACAAGAATAATTACTTTCCATGGCTTCTCTGGACTGTTAACAAGCATGTAAGGCAAGCTCGTGCTGCCCTCAGCACTTCTTCAACCCTGCTGAGACTGCTTTTCCTTCATTTGGTTGCATTAAAGTGGTGGAAACTTCTGCAGCAGATCCAAGCTCAGTGCACCTATTGTGACTGAGCTTCCTTTCAAAACCCTAGAGGTGCCATTGATGAAATAAAGGATGACACCAGAAACGGGAAGGCCGGGCATTAAGAAGGAAAGAGGAGAGGGAAGAGGAGAGGGTGGGGAAGAGAGGAAGGAGAGAGGGAGCAGCGGATGACCTCTTCCTGATGGCAATCCCTTATGACGGAGGACTCCCGGGGAACATGCTCACGCGGCATCACAAAACCCCTCAGGAAAGACACGCTTGCTCACATGGCTTGAATCCAAAGGTTAGTACAGGCTCTCCATATTCTAAACATGGTGGCAATGATCAGTTTCAAATGAGTAATAATTATCAACGCAAAGTGAAAAATAAGCATGCCTGCTTAATTCAGCTTACCAGCACTTCGCTGAACCTTCACGCCAACAGCCAGCTTTTCGTGCACACTTTTTTTTTTTCTTACTAATTTGTTTTTATTTTTTTTTTTTTTAATTTTTTTATTCTTATGTTAATCCCCTTACATTACAACATTAGTTTTAGATGAAGTGTTCCATGATTCATTGTTTGTGCACAACACCCAGTGCTCCATGCAGAATGTGCCCTCCTAAATACCCACCACCAGGCTAACCCATCGTGCACACTTTTAAAATAAAAGCGGTAGTCTGTCTGGCACTACAGATAATCCTCGTATCCTCAGAATTGGAAGGAAACTTAGAGGTCATTATAGCCAACCCTATCAGTTTACAGATAAGGAAACTAAATAAAGCGAAGAGAGATAAAGTGGTTTACCCATCATTCCAGAGCCACTTCAGGATGAAAAAATGTTTTTAGTCATGATTCTTGATATTATACCATGCTGCCTACAGAGTGGGAAAGAAAAGTACCACAAGGGATGGCCCCAGGCTTTATTGGAGCTACATCGGGGGGAGAAAAGATGGGCAGAGCTGGACATCTCAGCCCTGGAAACAAGGCCCCAGGCTGCAGTCAGGCTGTCCGCCTGCCACTCTTCTCAGCCTACACCCTCCAATATCTGACGGTCATTCCAACGCCACCTCTGGGTTTTTTCCCCCAGAGCTTTGGTTTGATGTGGCAGAATGTGAGGTATAGTAGCTGGTGCCTCCTTCCGGCAAGATCTTCAGAAGGAGGCCGTTGAAAGGTCACACAGCAGTGTGCTTCCAGGCTTCAGAGAAGCACACCCTCCCCAAGGGTGATGGGAAATGATGCCTCGCTCCCCTGCCTTTAGACCAGCATATTCCTAAGTGCATATCACACATGCCCCTAAAAAGCTAGTACAGGTTACAGATGAGTTTTGGCCCCGATGGCTTCTGCCTTCCAAGTTTTTGCCCAATCCCAGTATATATAGAAAATTCTAGAAATAGTCGCACCAAAACTCTGCAGCACATTCACGTGGAACTCACATTTACATTTTAGTGCTTACAGAGAACAAAATTTCCAATCAAAATTATTTTGGGAAAGTCTTGTCCAGTTCTTAGGGAAGCTGTAATATATGCAGGCTTTATGTTTGGTTTGCCTACCACAAACACATGTATAGATTAATAAATGGATTGGTAAAAATAATAATAATAATAACCCTCCCCCATGCAATCTACGATTTCCTCTTTTGCAGAAGAGGAACACCTCGACAGTCTTTAAAAATCTTCCACTATACTGGGGCACCTGGATGGTTCAGTAGGGTAAGCATCTGACTCTTCCTGATCTCAGGGTTGTGAGGTTGAGCCCAGCATGAAGGCTGATTCTCTCTCTCCCAGTCCCACTGCCCCTCCCACCCCTCTCTCTTGCAAAAACAAAAACAAAAACAAAAAACACATCTTCCACTATAGGGGCGCTCGGGTGGCTCAGTCCATTATATGTCCAACTCTTGATCTCAGCTCAGGTCTTGATCTCAGGGTTATAAGTTCAAGCTCCACACTGGGCATGGAGCCTACTTAAAAAAATAAATAAAATAAAATAAATAAAAATAAATATCTTCCACTATATATTCTTTTCCCTAGAAATATTCTTTCTGGATATTCTTTTTTTAAAAACACCTATACAACTGCCAGATCCAAGCTACCCATTTTGGTTCTAAGATTCTCTCATTAGCTACTAGGAAATAAAATCTGGGAGTTAAACAGCCCATGGATAGTAGTCCACACTTTCTGTTCCATATCCATTCCCAGGGTGTTAATAATTTTCACCATCTCCCAATTCCACTGAAAAAGTGGCCTGGATTTTATGTGACAGTGTTAGCATTCCATTGGCCTGATTATAGAAAATAATCATGAAAAAGTACTTACAGCATAAGCACCTATCAAAAATGCCGCATTTGCTCTTTTCCGCTGATCAAAACAGGTGTAGTGCACTATTTTCTTTCTTGATAAACTGTATGACTGAAAAGAGGGAATAAAGAGTGTAACCATAGAGACAATGTTAAAATATACAGAAGGTAAACATCATCTCAACTTCCAAGATGTGTCACAATCAGTGAAATCTACCAACTTTCAACTTTCATTTCTATGGCATTTGTACATGAGCTTTTGAGGGGTGGAGGGTTACTGGCGTTGACTTTTTGCAGCCCAACCATGATGCCGATTTGACAATAGAACACATACTTCTCTCCAAGCAGGGAGACATGCAATGGGAAAGAATTAAATTATTGGCATCTTTACTAGTGGGAACATTTTTGAAAATTTACTCTAAATATTATATGTAAAGTCGATTCATCTTTTTTCTTTTTTGAATTTTTATTATTTAATATTTATTTATATATTATTTGTTATTATTATTTATTATTAAGTACAGTTTAAGTACAGTTGACATACAATGTTTTATTAGTTTCAGGTGTACAACATAGTGATTCCACAATACTATAGATTAAGTGTAGTTACCGTGTATCACCATACAACATTAGTACAACATTATTGATTACATCAATATGCTGTACTTTTCATCTTCGCGACTTATTTTATAACTGGAAGTTTGTACCTCTTTATCCCTTTCATCTGTTTCATCCATCCCCCCCACACCCCTCTTCTCTGGCAACCACTAGTTCATTCTCTGTATTTACAAGTTTGTTTGTGTTGTTGTTGTTATTTGTTTGTTCGTTTGTTTTGTTTTTTAGATTCCACATATAAGTGAAATTATATGGTATTTGTTTTTCTCTGCCTTATTTTACTTAGCATAATACCCTCTAGGTCCATCCATGTTGACACAAATGGCAAGTTCTTTCTTAAGGCTGAGTAATTATTCATCCTTTTTCCTTCCCTACATACCATACTCCCAAAAAAGTTATCTGTACTTTTCATATTTTACAGTTTATTTTTAAATGTGTCAATCAGTCTATTTAACTCAGAGCACCAATACTCATAATATTAACAGAGCATCAATACTCATATTTTCTTTCTAGAATGTTCTACAAAAAATCCCCTTTCACTTATCTGAAAATAAATGGTTAGTGGGAAAAGATGAACCACCAAAAGGGTGGGATCAGCAGACATCTTAATACAATACATGGACTCAAACAAACAGTTATTAAGCACCTGCTATATGCCATGCAAATGCTGCGTGCTCAAGTATTCAACTAAATTCAAAATTTAGCAACTTGGTATGCTGTATACATGCTAAACATGAAAAGTAAAAAAAGCTGTTAAAATGAAATCAAAGTATTCATCAAACTCAAATAAACATAAAACAATGAGAACACTGATGCAACTAAATGAAATCTGCTCAATTTCCTCATATTCCAAAACAGTTACAGCATTTTGACAAATGGTTTTCAAAATACAGATACATAGGTACCTCTTAATATTTGCCCATAAATTCAAGCTGACTGTAAAAGCAGCTTTTTATACCTTACACACTGACCACAACCCACAGAATACCTGCTTTTACAGCTCCTTTAAAAATGTAAGAGAGCTCAACTACCCTTCTTTGTTCACCTGGCTATTTTCTACAAGGAAAAGAAACTCTTCCAACTCTGAGGTCTATTCCACAGGATACTGCAGTGTTCTGGTTTTGATGTAACCACAGAAAACATAGCTGTATTGTATACCAGCAATGAGCCTGCAAACCTTCATCATCCCTTTAGGCATTTCTTTCCTAATCAAGAATCACAGGGGCATCTGGGTGGCTCAGTTGTTAAGCATCTGCCTTCGGCTCGGGTCATGGTCCGGGGGTCCTGGGATTGAGCCCCACATTGGGCTCCCTGCTCCACGGGAAGCCTGTTTCTCCCTCTCCCTCTCCCCCTACTTGTGTTCCCTCTCTTGCTGTGTCTCTCTGTCAAATAAATAAATAAAATCTTAAAAAAAAAAAAAAAGAATCACGGATTCTGAAAATGGCATTGCTCTTTTAAAGTGAACTTCAAAAAGTAACGGTTTGCCTCAAAGTGGGTCTCATTACTGAAGTCCTCATTTCCAGACAGACTTATGAAAATACCCCTATGAAATAAAGCTTTAAAAATACATTTTATTAAATTCAGTTCAGTCAACACACTGAAGTTATCTAAAGACGTCAAGGTCACTATCAATCATGCTGACACCTGTCTCCTTGCTTCCTCAATTTGTCGTTTGTTTTCTTTCTAAGATTTATTTATTTATTTTTGAGAGAGAGAAAGACAGCACACAAGCGGGGTGGGGGGGGTGGGGGGGCAGAGGGAGAGAGAAAGAGGAAGAGAAGCAGACCCACCCCTGAGCATGCAGCCTCATGTGGAGCTCAATTTCATGACCCTGAGATCATGATCTGAGCCGAAATCAAGAGTCAACATTTAGGGGCACCTGGGTGGCTCAGTTGGATGAGCATCTGACTCTTGGTTTTGGCTCAGGTCATGATCTCAGGGTTGTGAGACTGAGCCCCACAAAGGGCTCCATGCTCAGTGGGGAGTCTGCTTGAGATCTCTCCCTCTGTCTCCCACTGCCCCTTCCCCTGCTCATTCCCTCTTTCTCCCTCTCTCTCTCTCAAATAAATAAATACATCTTTTAAAAAAAAAGGGTCGGATGTTTAACCGACTGAGCCACCCAGGCGCCCCTGCTTCCTCAATTTGAAACCATTGTCTGCAGGACATTTCCTTTTGTTTTTATTATTTGTTTGTTGGTTTGTCTGTTGGCTTGTTCTTGCCATTTATTGTTCTCCATCAATAAGTTAGTTTTGATTTACCGAAAGGAGAGTCAAGGCCCTTAAAACTTAAGCAGATTTTTAGGTGTCTGATCCCAAACCTAAAGACTGCCTTCCAGAGGCCGGGCCCCTGCAAACATGAGTCAGGCTGAGCATAAGGACTCAGCTCTTCCGGCTCCCTGCCTCTCACTAATTACATTTCCTGGTTCCCTAAAACACCTGTGGGGAAGAAAATATCCACAACTGATCTGGAGTTTGGATTGTCTGTTTTAATGCCCTTTTCCACTAAGAATTTAGATTTCACAACAAACTATTGCTATCATTTAATAATGTGGAATTAAATTTATTTTACAAATCCATTCACCAAAAGGGACAAACTCATAAGGCTTGCTTTTATCACCAATAGTCTTTTTGGTTGTTTTCAAACGTTTTGCATTTCCTTGGTTTTTGTTTTTTCACTATTCTTTGAAAGTATATGGGATATACTTTAGTATATGTTGCAGAGACCATCCTGCAACAGAAACCATGAAGCTACAGGATGAAATTCGAGTAGAAACTTTCTTTTCACTATAAACCCATAAATTTTTTAAAGTAAATATAATACAAATTAAACTATTAAGGACTTTAGAAGAATTTTTAAACTTTACAAGCTTTCAGAAATTACATCAGATAAAGAATATTCTCATAAAATACACCTACAAATTTTAACTATTTTAAAATATCTCCTATTGGAAGCTGCCTATAGATGGAAACAATTTTTTTAACATCCATTACCATACATAATGACAAAATTTTTTTCTTGTGATAAGAACCTTTAAAATTTACTCTCTTGACAACTTTCAAATATATAATATGGTATTATTAACTATGGTCACCATGGTGTACATTACAGTAACTGACTTTTTAACTACAGCTTTCTAATTTTTAGGAAAATTTTTTAAGCTCCTAGCATTTACCTTACCTAAATGTTTTCGGAATGCCATTGTTTTTCTCAGTTAAGTCTCAAAAGCATTACAGTCAAGAAATCATCTGCCTGGGCGCCTGGGTGGCTCAGTTGGTTAAGCGACTGCCTTCAGCTCAGGTCATGATCCCAGAGTCCTGGGATCGAGTCCCACATCGGGCTCCCTGCTCTGCAGGGAGCCTGCTTCTCCCTCTCCCACTCCCCCCGCTTGTGTTCCCTCTCTCGCTGTGTCTCTCTCTGTCAAATAAATAAATAAAATCTTTAAAAAAAAAAAGAAATCATCTGCCTAGTGAAATTTGGCCAATGTCTCCCAGGTCAGATCACAAAGTTTGAGTTCTCACTCAAGGAATCAAAACTAATTCACAATAAATGAGAACAGAGAAAACTCTTAAATCTTACTGATCTTGCCCTAATTTCCTTCCTGGTCACAGCCAGGCCTTCCTCTCATAGGTCACCTTGCCCCAGGCTTACACCAGTAATGCTATTGTAACATAGCAGATATTCTGGTCCTGGAATGAAAAATTTCAAGGATGAGGCACCTGGCTGGCTCAGTCGGTAGAGCATGCAACTCTTAATAGGGGTTATGAGTTCAAACTCCACATTGGGTGTAGAGATTACTTAAAAATTAAAAAAAAAAAAAGGTTTTAAAAAACGACCTACTACATACAAAAGCATTCCAGAAGAAACAATACAATCCACTGGAGACACCAATGACTCAAGTCCTTTTAGAGAAACATCCTTGAAGAAAGATCTTCAAGATCTTTCCTGGAGGAACTTACCATGGAGGAAGAGAAAGGCACCGTCTGTAGACAAGAGGACTCTAATTTATGAATGAGCCCAGTAGATATTTTCTCAGATTCTGCCCTAATACCAAGAAAACTTCATGCCTCCAAACTGAACTGTGTCTTCCTTACTTTGGCCCAATTCCTCTGTGGTTGGGTATGCTGACCAGGCCCTTCAAGGAGAGCACTTGTAGGGGCGCCTGGGTGGCTCAGTCGTTAAGTGTCTGCCTTCGGCTCAGGTCATGATCCCAGGGTCCTGGGATCTAGCCCCGCATCAGGCTCCCTGCTCTAAGGAAAGCCTGCTTCTCCCTCTCCCACTCCCCCTGTGTTCCCTCTCTCGCTGTGTCCCTCTCTGTCAAATAAATAAATAAAATCTTAAAAAAAAAATACAAAACAGAAATCTTAAGAAAAAAGAAATAAACATGCATTTAAAAAAAAGAATTTGTTGAATTAGTCAATATTACTAAAACTTTTCAGAAATAAAAACAAATATCGGGTGCCTGGGTGGCTCAGTTGGTTAAGCGACTGCCTTCAGCTCAGGTCATGATCCTGGAGTCCCAGGATCGAGTCCCACATCGGGCTCCTGACTCAGTGGGGAGTCTGTTTCTCCTTCTGACCCTCTCCCCTCTCATGCTTTCTCTCTCTCTCTCTCTCAAATAAATAAATAAAATCTTTAAAAAAAAAAAAAAGAAATAAAAACAAATATCAATCTAAATTATATTTTATTATTATATTTCATCCTGTTAACAGGCTGGTTCAGGGTAACCTAGAGGGCTTATTAAAATACAGATTGCTTTAAGGATGTACTGTATGATGAGTAACACAACATAATAAAAAAAAAAAAAAAAGAACAGATTGCTGGGCCCAAGAATTTTATTTATTTTTTTTTAATTTTATTCTTATGTTAATCCCCATACATTACATCATTAGTTTTAGATGAAGTGTTCCATGATTCATTGTTTGTGCACAACACCCAGTGCTCCATGCAGAATGTGCCCTCTTTAATACCCATCACCAGGCTAACCCATCCTCCCACCCCCCTCCCCTCTAGAACCCTGTTTGTTTTTCAGAGTCCATCGTCTCTCATGGTTCGTCTACCCCTCCGATTTCCCCCGCTTCATTCTTCCAAGAATTTTATTTTTAACAAGTTCCTCAGTAATTCTGATGTTGCTGGTCCAGGGACAGCGCACTGTCCTATCCGCTATGCTACATAAAAATGTGACTGATCATCCCCTGGAAATGTTTTACATGGCTCCTAAAACACTGTCCATTTGGTCAAGTAGCCCCAAAAGACATATTTAAATTATCTTAGGAACTCCAAATCATTCCATAAGCCTTTTAAAAGATTTTATTTATTTATTTGTCAGAGAGAGGGAGAGAGACAGAGAGGGAGCGCACGCACACACATGAGCTGGGGGGGAGGGGGTAGAGGCAGAGGGAGAAGCAGGCTCCCCACTGAGCAGGGAGCCCCCGCAGGACTCGATCCCAGGGATCATGACCAGAGCCGAAGGCAGACGCTTAACCTACTGAGCCACCCAGGCACCCCTCCATATGCCTTTTAAAAGTATGTTATAAAAAACACATTTCCCCAGATTCCTCAGAAAACTGTATCACAATTTGTAAATTCTTGCATTCCAGATGATAACACCTTAGGAAAAGTTCCTTTAATGATTCAGTAACTGAGCTGCCTTAAATGGCATTATTCCAGAGGTTCAAAGTTCAGATGCCCTCAGGGGCCAAGAATTTGAAGTAGGTAAATTGGTAAACTAGAAAAGCATGCCCTATCCTAAGAAGACTTAGCTTCAACCTCCTACTCCCATGTAGGAATCTGGGCCCATAATCGCATACTTTAATATTTAAGAGAAGCCAAAAATCCAGAATTAAGTGGAAATTTTCATAAATTATATATGTCAACCATGACTTCAAAATTTTTAAACAGCATTCATGCCCAAGAAAACATTACAAAACTGAATGCAGCCCATAGGCAACCAGTTCGCCAAATCTGTGTGCCGGGATATTGTGGCTGAAGAAAGTTCTATTGGTTTTATCGGCATGAATTGAGCAGCTGCTATGTGTCAAAGACAGTGCTGAACGATGCAGTAACAAGGGAGCAGAAATTCATTCTCTAGCCTCATAAGCATTCACAGTCTAATGAATATTTGATGCTAACCAAGGGGGAAATATTGACCAAGGCTTATTACAAACAAAAGAGAACAACTACCTAAGGATGCATTCATAGCAGAGCAAGGACCAACAGAATGATCTTAATTACAGGTACAGTAGTTATTTCCTTTAACAAAGTAAAAAATAATAGATAAAAGATAGAATATAGTACTGAATATCCACCAATTAATATAATCAAACCTATAGAAATTTCCAGAGCTGGATTGCTTACCTGAGAGTCAGAGTTTTACCACTGTTATGTAAATCATGACAAGTGTGCAATCTAGCATATAAACGTTTAATGGTACTTGTAAACCAAAGTATGACGGCGGCTATGAGAGAACAATACAAATTAAGATGAGGGTATTGACCCCAGTCAGACATTTTCTATCTCATAAAAGAACACTATGTGAAAGGTTGCATTCTGGAGGGCTCACTCTTGGAGAAAAACATGCCACGGCAACTCAGAGAGAGAAAATGTCGACATGCTACACGAATCACAAATAGCCCAGGCTAGCCTCAGATGGTGATGACATATACAAATCATGCACTTGCTCAGCTTAGGGCAGGAGACGACAAACTACTCAACCATTCAAAAACAAAAGGTGGCGCCAGGCGGTGTAATTAAGCTCAAAGCCAAAACACGCTCGCGCGCGCGCACACACACACACACAAAAGAGTTAATGCATAATTTAGAAAAACAGATTTTTAAGTAGCCTTTTAGTAAAGTTGTTTGCCCTGCTTAAAAGTAAAATCTTCAAGTCATTTGGTTGGAACACCATGTTTAATTAAACTGTGTGAATCAGCCTGATTGAGCTAAGGAAGACATTAGTGCAGGCTGGACAATATGTTCTTTAATTAAAAAAAGAGAGAGAGAGAGAGAGCCCATGCACTTCCCTAAACAAGCAAGCTCAGCCAGTGATGGTGCTCATATTAAGTAGATTATGGCACGGGGGCCGTGGTGATCAAGGCATCATTCTCTTACAGGTGACTAGGCTAGCCCAGTAATGGCCGCAGCAATCAGCATCTCCAAAGCAATCAGTTGTCATCTCATTGCAAAAGCGAGAAAATGAACAGGTCTTCCTGTCAGCAGCCATGACCTCTACATGTTTTACCTCCAACTTTCCCAGGAAAGGGATATTCTTGAAAATTTTCTTTGGCTGTACAAAACAAAATATGGTTTATGTTTTTATTTTGGGCTAAAACAAAATAGGTAGAGTAGTTTCTTTAAAAAGAAAAAGGTGTCTCTGTATGGTCTGTTTTATTTCAAACCCAATATGTTTCATTAATGAAATGGCACATTTGATCAGAGCAGAAGTCAACATGTCAGAAAAAAGTTGCTCATAAAGATTATTTGACCATGATGATAATTTGGTTGATGGCATTTGGGGATTCTCCATTAAAGGGGTTCTTCTTGCCTGAGGATTTCTAAATGGGCATCAGGAAGGACTCCGTGCCTTGCAAATTCTATGTCCACTCACTCCCATGTGAATTAACACTGCTTTAGAACCCCTGATACCTCTTTAAACTACATGAACTGTATCCAAAATGTAACTTGCTTTTCCTCCCCCCAAAGCCCATGAATCTGAAACAGAAGGTAACCTCATGAAGAAATCTCAACATATTTTTGTAGTTATAAAAAGAGGGTGGTCCTATCATTGTATCAAAAGAGTTCTTGTGTACAATCACCTGATACCATGGCAGGTGCCTGGTTAGCAGATAGGATTGCTGCACTGATTCATTCAACAACAAGGACAGTCCCCGAGCCCCCACCATCTGCCAGGTACTTTCAGTGCTTTAATACAATCGTCCATTTCACCAGGCCCACCCTCCCCCTTTTCCTTTTACCCTGAAATGGCTATGTGGGATGTTTTGTACATTTAAAATTACACTTCTGTCAATATTCTTTTAAACCTTTTAAAAGCAGTCCTCAAGATTACTGTAATTGTCCTGTTGAATCATAAAAGCAGTATTAAAAAGAAATCACTGCCCTAGAAAATGTCCCCTTTTTCCAGTGATGCTCTTAGATTTTTTCTTTCACAGACTGAGGTTTTCATTTTCTCAGAGGAAAAGTGAAATCAACAGTTAAAACTGTATTGACCATTGGGGCACTTGGGTGGCTCAGTCGGTTAAGCATCTGCCTTCGGCTCAGGTCATGATCTCAGGGTGCTGGGATCAAGCCCCATATCTGACTCCCTGCTCAGCGGGGAGTCTGCTTCTTCCCCTCCCGCTCCCCCTTCTTGTGCTCACTCGCTCTCTCTCTCTCTGTCAAATAAATAAAATCTTAAAAAAAAAAAAAAACTGTATTGACCATTTTAGGAAAAACTAGTTCAATCATGTTTATAAAACTTTCCTATTATTGTATCAGTCATTGAAAGATTTTCTTACATGACTAAATTTGAAGAAGGTATTGTTTTTTAAAATTCAATCATGTTTATAAAACTTTCCTATTATTGTATCAGTCATTGAAAGATTTTCTTACATGACTAAATTTGAAGAAGGTATTGTTTTTTAAAATATCACTATGTTGTTAGAACGGTCTTCCCTTTTAGAAGACTGTATATTCTAACCCAGTGTTTTTACCATTGTCTGTGGCAAGAATCCCTTTAAGAACTGTTTTAAAAGTTATGCATCTTCTCAGAGGAAAATGTAAATACACATAAAATTTTATATATAATTTCAGGGGTTTATGGAACTCTTAAAATACCAAATTACTGAATTCTGGTCTAGCCTATCAATCACTGATGGCATTTTACATTAAACAACATACACAGTTTTACCAATTGTTCTTAGTTCAATAAATCTTCCTTCTTTGGACTGCTTAGCCCATTACAGTAACTACTGACCAGAAATTGCAAACTACAACCTATCACTGCACAACAATTAGTGCTTACACTTTTTAAAATATAGTTTAAATTTTAAAATATAGGGTTTTTTGTTGATGGTAGTGATTTCCACTTTTGGTTTTTGTTTTGTGGATTTTTTTTAAGATTTTATTTATTTATTCAAGGGAGAGAGCGAGAGACAGAGCATGAGCTGAGGGGAAGGGGAAGAGGAAGAGGGAGAAGCAGATACCTCGCTGAGCAAGGAGCCCAACATGACCTGAGCCAAAGGCAAACCCTTAGCCGACTGGGCCACTCAGGCACCCCTACTTTTGGTTTTTGAATCTAAGTATATGTTTGATGGATAATTTTCCATTCTAATCAACATAATTAAAATGAAAGTCACTGGGAATAGAATGTATATTGACACACAAAAAATAGCAATAAATCACCACCTCAAATCATCAACTTGAAAAAAATACCTTTTGATAATATAAAAATAAAAAATGTAGAATGCACTGCAAAATATTACCTATCTATATAAAGTATCAAATAAAGAAGAAGAAAAAAACATAAAAGCTTTATTGGAAGAAATAAAAATTGCCAAAGTAGAAAATAAGACATGCCTAAAAGAGCTAGGAAACCACACAGGAGAAATATTCCAAGAAGTTGTAATCGGTTAAAATAGTGGCAAATTATTCAGAGAAGTAGAGTTTGATGACCAAGTAAACACCATCAGATCTGGTGTTTAAGATGTCACCAGAGCGGGGCACCTGGGTGGCTCAGTCAGTTAAGCATCTGCTCAGATCGTGGTCTTGGGGTCCTGGGATTGAGCCCCACACCAGGCTCCCTGCTCAGCAGGGAGTCCGCTTCTCCCTCTGCCCCTCCCCCCGGCTGGTGCGCGCTCTCTCTCTCTCTCTCTCAAATAAATAAAATCTTTTTTTAAAAAATGTCACCAGAGCAGTTTCAGCAGGGTAAGTAAGGCAAAAGTGAGACAGCAAAGGATTAAGAAATCAGTGCGTAGTGAGGATGTAAACAGCGAGGGCAGAGTATTCTGAAATCTCCAGAGGCAAAAGGGGACCTGTAAGTGAAGGAGATCATGAAGTCAAGGGGATCACGCTAAGATCGACAGAGGTTTCTGTGGGTCTGGTGACCCTGTGCTGGGCACTGGGGACCCAGAACTATATGTCACATCTCCATCTCCTAGGAGCGTCTAGTCTAGTGAGAGAGAGCAATGCTATCCTAACAGGTAATTATAATTCTTCAATAATAGAGATCTGCACAGCGAATTCTGAGAAAACGGGAGGCACCTCCCACCTTCTCCCGTAGCGCGAGGAGATGCCTCCTAGAAGGCGTAAAGGAGCGATCAAACCAGAGAAAAGGGGCCCTCAAGTCAGACTGGACGTCACAAGCCACTGCGTGGAGCAACTGGTGTGGCTCAGGGTAAAGTGCACAGCTGGGAGTCGAAGGGGTCCTGCGATATGCAGTAAATCAGTAAGTTCGCGCGGGAAATCATCCACCGGGAAAGACGCCAAGGGCGGCAGCTGTCAAGGCAAGCAAGACAAAAGGCATGGAAGCAAGGTGCCCAAAGGTCTCACCAAGATGAGTGAACACGGGCTGCAGACGAGAAACACCAACAGGGAGCCCGAGAAAATACGGAGCCTGAGGGCCTGGAGATTACATGAAGGTGAGGGAGACAGAATATGGCAGGTACGGAACGAGAAGCGTCCATTGAAAGCAGAAAAGCCTGGGGGCGCCTGGGTGGCTCAGTCGTTGAGGGTCTGCCTTCGGCTCAGGTCATGATCCCAGGGTCCTGGGATCGAGCCCCGCGTCGGGCTCCCTGCTCCGCGGGAAGCCTGCTTCTCCCTCTCCCACTTCCCCTGCTTGTGTTCCCTCTCTCGCTGTATCTCCCTCTGTCAAATGAATAAATAAAATCTTAAAAAAAAAAAAAAAACAAAGCAGAAAAGCCTGGAGTCTGGGTTCCTAGAAGAAAAGCAGCCGGAGTCACTGGAGCAAACGAGGCGGAGGAGTCTCGAGACCACTATGGGACAACAAGGTGAAGTCAGCTGGGGCAGTGTTGTGAGCACGCCTGGAAAGATTATAAACCACAGAGGCTCGGCTAGCCACGAAGGTGGAGAGGAGCAGGAATAAGTCGAGAGCCTTGAAATCGAGCCCCCACTTTCCCTTGCAGCCTTGGCCAAGTCACCTGACTGTCCTGGGCCTCCCTTTTTGCACCGATAAAATTAATTGGCTGGACTAAATGGTCATTTCCATTCCTAAAATTATATCGGACAGCTTTTGAATATGGAAATAATAGCTAGGGGGGCTGAGAAGGCGTTCATAAACTGGGTTGAAAAACTCTTATTGTTATTTCTTACCCAAAGTCATAAATGTTCCATTAGTAACTTTCTTCACCATAAGACATTAAAATTTGCAAAGACTTTTTACATATATTTTTCTAATATAATCCTAACCACCCCTCTGTGGGAGCTCTGTAACCCCTATGTTATAGCTAAAGAAACAGATTCCACAAGGCTGAAGCAATTGTAGCTTTGGATTGGTAGTCAGTCTTTTTCTCCTAACATAGAGATTGTACTTGGATGCTTCAAAATAATCCATGGCTTATTAACATTTGGGTTTTAACATTCATTCCTTCAGCAAGTAACAGGGTACCACTAGCCATATTAAAGCTAAAAAGGTCCTTCTAGGAATCCATCAGATTACCTGATCACTGAAATGAAACAAGGGATTGCTGAACTCTATTAAACTTTCATATAATGTTGAAAGAAAGCTTTGTAAATGAAAACAAATCGAAACAAGTCCATGTATACACTTACTTATAGGGTTTGGTATCGAACATGGTAGAAAAATAGCCTTACTCAAGCCATCTACTCTTACGTGACTGCTATAAGAACACTAAGTCAGACCAAAAATTTTATTTTCAAAATAATGATTCTCTTCTCTTCAATCTTCTAAATAATAGTCAGGTTGCAAATTGTTAATTATAATACCCAGTTCATACCAACTACATACTAACAGGACTAATCAAGAAAGCAAAAAAAATTCCTAGGTCCTCAAAAGGAAGAAATAAGCCTCAATTATTTATGAACTCTCCTTTCCTTGTTAATTCACCCACTAAAAAGTCATTTTATATTTTTATATTTAAATCCTTTTAAGGATATTATTTGCTTCCTTGGTGATTACAAAAGTTTCAAGTTTATTTTCTAAACTACAGGCAGTAGCTTCTTTTCTGCAAAATGTAGATCAGTTCAGTTAAAGGCATTTACATACATATTTTCAAGTCAGCTAATACTTTACAAATTAAGTCTTTAAACAATTGATTACAACAGATCTTATGTTATACAATGATTAAAAAAAATATTTCTTTGGCATTCATTCCTGACCATTTAGCATTTTCAGATCAGTGGCAAAAATCTGTGAATTCAAAAATTCACAACATATTTTACCGGAAATTCTCCACCATCCACTGTCTTTTCTACCTAAGTTCAATAAAAATCAATCGATTCAAAAGATCATCACCAAGCAGCTAATCTGTACAAGGCATAGTACTATGTCACACCAGTAACATTTTAACCAGCAGAAAGAATAAACAACCTGAGCATTGTAATTTAGCAGTCATCTTTAACAGCATGCTGTGTAGTATTTGACCTTCCAAACTGAAACATTACATTTAAGATCCTCATTTAGAAAACTGGAAGAAAAATAGAAATATTTCTTTCTATGTGGTGAAATAAATTTACCAAAACCAGGAGTATACATATTGCTTTTCTTCATATATGTTTAGAGTTTAAGAGAAAAAAAATGTAAAATCAAAAATATAGATGAATACTGAATGTATGACCCAAATTCTGTCATAACAGGTAAAGTCCCTCTTGTATCACTACTAGTTCATCAATCTCACTTGGCTGTTAACTCTACAAAGATGACCTTCAAGAAATACATAAAAATTTCTATCTTGATCAGACAGGAAAAGCTCCAGAGCTCCTGCCATGCAGTGATGAGCCCCTTCATCACCTGGTTTCAGAAAAATCATCCTAGGAAGGAATTTGATAGACTCATTAAACAACAACCTGAAAGGATTTGTGCTTTCTTTCTTAGATCACTATTCCAATGACTTCATTCCAGCTCACATTTCAATTCATCCTGAAAAATGAGAGGTTAACATGTCCTTTATGGAATACTCAGGTGGATCAGTTTCAACTTCTGGGTGAACCACTCATATAAATATCCAAAGATCAAGATTACCTAACTAAATGGTATGTGCACAGCAATCCCAGTGGTCAGATTTCAAAGTTCCAGTTTTTAATACCAGAATATAAACATCACCATAATACTCACTTTCAGTTTCTTGTTTAGTTTACAGCAGTATCTGTACACCATTGCCAAGTTCAGAGGTCCAAAATCTGCATAAAAACTGAGATTGTTTAAAAAAAAAAAGTAGTATTTAGTAGAAATATAGTTTTCAGTAACATCAACGCTCATTTTTATTTTCATTAAAATTGCAAACAAATTCTAGTTATTGTCAAGAATAAGGGTCAATAGGGCTCCTGGGTGGCTCAGTCGTTAAGCGTCTGCCTTCGGCTCAGGTCATGATCCCAGGGTCCTGGAATCGAGTCCCACATCCGGCTCCCTACTCGGCAGGAAGCCTGCTTCTCCCTCTTCCACTCCCCCTGCTTGTGTTCCTGCTCTCGCTATCTCTCTCTCTCTGTCAAATAAATAAATAAAAATCTTTAAAAAAAAAAAAAAAAGAATAAGGGTCAATATATAGAGAATCCAAATAACTAATGGTTTTACCCTCCTGAGGATCACCAATTACTATAACCAGTCTCCGGTCTCTTAACAGGGAACTGTTTGGACAGCTCCGAGTTCCACCTCCTTCTATCTCCCTGCCAGGACATTCAGAAAAAGGACTAAAAAGCAGGCAACAAAAGAAGCAACAAGAACATAACATGTTCACTTCCTACTTTTATTTATCATCTACTCAGTTACCAATTCTAACTATTCCCCTCAAACAGCGCTCTCAGTTCTCAAGGATCTTCAATCTAGTGGTCTTCTTTCAGTTTTCTTCTCCTTGAACTTTCTGCATCATGTGACACACTGGCCCTTCTCCCTCTCCCCACCCCAGATGTCTCCAGGCTACAGTCAGCAGTCTGCAGTTCTCTCATACCCACTATCATGAATTTCACTGATAACCCTATGGAAGAGAGATTAGATGGCTTCCACACTTGAGACCCAGCATCAGCCTTTTCATCTTCAACTACCTGTGAACCTCACATCTACAGGTCCTTCCATTACCTGGAACTCAGAACATCTAAAACTCAACACATCTTTCCTTCAAATCAGCCCACCAGACTCAAAACATTTGCTTCTCCCAGTTATTCGGGCATGAAACCTTTCAGTCACAACAAATAAATACCAATTTAATTCTCGTACACCAGAAAAGCTACTACTCTTAAGTCATCCCTTGCTTTTCCATTCCAATGTTAGCAACAGAAGGGCAGAGTCTTCATCTCACATCCTTACTGCTTAAATTCTCCCACTCCCTTGCCTAATCATCCTGTATGCCACTCCAAAGATTAATCTTCATAACATCTCACTTCTCACATATCTTCCCACCAGTCAAAAATGTTTAATGGCTCCTTACTCCCTTCAAAATAATTCCTTGGCCCAGCAATCAAAGCCCTACACATGTATGCTCATGCCCCTCACTTCCAGGATGGCTTTACCTCCTAAAGGGCCCCATTTGGAATCTGCATTCCAACAAACATGTCCATTCCTCATTCCCAAATACTCCATATGCATATTCTTAATCCAAGCCTCAGCTCACACTGGTCTCCTTGGCTGGAATGCCCTCCTTTTTCTCTTTCTGCTTCTCTCTAGCTTCCTCAAAATCCAGTTCAAATCCTACCTTTCCAGTCACCCTTAGGAAACACTACCCTTCTCTCAAAGTTCCCAAAACTTAACCATCTGAGACACTATCACATATTGTGAATTATCTTTTTTTTTTTTTACGTGTAGTTCCTACCTGCCCAACTACAGGGTAAGCCTCTCACTCTGGGGCTCTATCTTATACCGTATAGGCTTAGAAGAACATCCTGCTCATAATATAAAACTTCAACAAACGAGTCCTCATTTTGAATATTTTGCTCACTAATGTGCTCAGATTCAATTTAGCCTAGACCACAAATTTACTAAATATCAACAAGTTTCAAAAATTTATTAAATTATCAGTAAGTTTCAAAAATCCATCCCCAAAAGACCTTTATTTTGAGGGTGTCATTTACTTTTTTTCTGCTACCTGAATTACAGTATTATAGATAACATCATTAAACTACATCAAATCTGCCAGGAGCCAGATTGGTAATATTTTGGAACTTATATTCTAGTTAACACCAAAATTTGCTGTCCCGATATACAGGCTTCATGAGAGAAAAAACAGAGTTGCCAAAAAAAGAAACTTGCAATGATTTGAAATAAAAAGTTACTGATATATTTCTAAAGTTCCCAGTGTGATGCTGTGTTGTAAGTATAAACAAAATACCCATGAATTCAAAATGAACTATGTTTATTACACCTAATTACTGACCATGTAACTTGGATGGTAAACAAGAATCCACTCAAAAGAATCAAAATGAAAAATATATAAAAATAAGCACCTACCAGCATGATTAAGACAGCCCTGTTTCTATCACAGAGATTTCCTTGTCCTTGAGTTACTGGAAGTAACACTCAGCTAATAACCCCTGTTTTTTCCTACTCAAACATGAATGTTGACACTTGTAGAATGTTAAGGTAAATCTAGAATTTTTAGTGATGGTGGTTTCATCAGCTTTTTAGATTCACTTTGAATAAATTTCAGGAAGGCACAAAGAATTTGAAGTATCTAATTCCAGTTTCATACTAACCATCAGAAACCAACTTTAGTTTCAAACTCATAACTGTGTAGTTTCTAACTGCACAGCCAGCTTAGCCACATGTACTTTTGGAAGCAACATGGTTAACAAACACACCTGTTTCACCAAACATCGGATAAGTAAACTGGTATACTCCAATAAAACAGGAAGAAGTACATCAAATACAGACCATGTTGTTTTTTTGGGTTTTGTTTTTTTGTTTTTTTGTTTTGTTTTGTTTTGTTTTACAGACCATGGTGTTAAGTTGATCTGTACTCTCCAACACCTGTGGCTATTTAAATTTAAATTAATTAAAGTTATACACCCTATTTCTATTGCAGCATTATTTACAACAGCTAAGACATGGGACCAACCCTAGTGTACACACATAGATGAATGAATAAAGATGTGTGTACGGACACACACACACACACACACACACACAGTGGAATATTACTCAGCCATAAGAAAGGATGAGATCATGCCATTTGTGACAACATGGATGGACCTAAAGGGTATAATGCTAAGCGGAATAAGTCAGACAGAAGGACAAATACCATATGATTTTACTCATATGTGGAATCTAAAACAAGAAATGAATAAATAAACAAAAAGTAGGGGTGCCTGGGTGGCTCAGTTCGTTAAGCGACTGCCTTCGGCTCAGGTCATGATCCTGGAGTCCCTGGATCGAGTCCCGCATCGGGCTCCCTGTTCGGCAGGGAGCCTGCTTCTCCCTCTGACCCTCCTCCCTCTCATGTGCTCTCTCTCATTCTCTCTCTCAAATAAATAAATAAAATCTTTAAAAAAAAAAAACAAACAAAAAGTAGAACCAGACCTATAAATACAGAGAGCAAACTGCTGGTTGTCAGAGGGGAGAGGGGTGAGGTTCAGACAAAATGGGTAAAGAGGAGTGGGAGATACAGGCTTCCAGTTATGGAATGAATAAGTCATGGGGATATAAGATACAGGGAATATAGTCAGGGATTGGTATTGTATGGTGTTGTATGGTGAATGGTATTGTAAAGGTGTTGTATGGTGACAGACAGTAGCAAATTTGTGGTGCCTGTAGCATAATGTATAGAGAAGTTGAATCACTATGTTGTACACCTAAAACTAATGTAACATTGTGTCAACTATAGTCAAATAAAAAAATTTTAATTAACTAATATTAAAGTTGAATAAATTAAAAATCAGTACTCCCATCATATTAATTAGCCCATTTCAAGCATTCAAAAGCTTCATGTAGCTAATGGCTACTGATTTGGAAAATGAAAATATAGAACATTTCCATCATTGCGGAAAATGTTCTGCACTCATAGAAAACACCAATCAAGATGAAAAGATGAGGACAAAAATAACTATAAAACACTAGAGAAATTGCCAAGTAACCTGAGTGAGGTATGGATAAAGCATTTGAAGAAACTGATGTCCTTCCCCTTCAGAGGCCTACATAGTTCCCCATAGTGAAATTAGGCTCTGGGAATTCCTATCCCCTTTTGTTCAAGGAGGTCATATTTCCAGAAAGACAATTTGAGACCTAGAGCAGGGGAGGAGAGAAAAATAGAAGAGGATCCTGTCCGCACTCTTTTCTACTGTCTCTCAAAGAAACAGGTTGCTGTAAGAGAATCAGACAGCTACAAGAAGCTATACCTGCATCTTGGCCACAGCAGCAGGTTAAGGGGAGATGAAAAGCAATCTGAACCCAGTTTCCCACCTTACAAAATCTTAAAGCTCAATGGGCCAGCTTTCATATTTCACAAAAGGAGGGATAAGCCTCAAGTCATACTAAGAAATGCAGTCAAAACCTTTGCACAGCCAAGAGCAATTTAGAACAGGTCTTCAAAAATCAGAAATGTTGCAGGCAAATATAAAGCCAACAAACTCTTTTTTTTAAAATATTTTTTTAAAGATTTTATTTATTTATCAGAGAGAGAGAGACAGAGGCAGGCAGAGGGAGAAGCAGGCTCCTTGCTCTGCAAGGAGCCTGATGTGGGACTCGATCCCAGGACCCTGGGATCATGACCTGAGCCGAAGGCAGACGCTTAACCGACTGAGCCACCCAGGCATCCCAACAAACTCTATCCTAAGGCCATTTTATATATTCTTTCCTCACAATGTTAGCATTTCTAAGAATATATATGTATTTATAATAATATACTTTTATGTTTTTATATTGTTTTCTAACTGGTTAAATACATTCTGAAAATGTCAAGATCATTGGGGCAAAATATGGTCATAGCTGCTCACACTGTTCTGGGTTATCACCAATTTTGATATAATAAAATGCCATGAGTAAAGAAGACACCTTCCAACAATAAGCTTCCTTTTTTTCTTTAGGTTTTTATTTAAATTCCAGTTAGTTAACATACAGTATAATATTAGTTTGAGGTGCACAATATAGTGATTTAACACTTCCATACAACACCTGCTGCTCATCACAACAAGTGCCCTCCTTAATCCCCATCACCTATTTCACCCATTCCCCCATCACCTCCCCTCTGGTAACCATCAGTGTGTTCTC